GTTGCTAGCTATTTGTACCTATTGCGCATCCGTTGTCGCCGCTGCAGTGCATTGAGCTACAGTTTAGTTTTAGGTGGGCGTCTCAGATTTCATCAGAAGCACATGAGGCCTGCCGCCACACAGCATGGAGACAGGGCAAGAGGCCCTGTTTCGTTCTTACTGCCGCCACAGTTGGCTCGGCGACTGGCCGCTGCGTTTTCGATCAGTCTGTCGCTCCTCATTGTCTAGCCGCTGTACAGTGTGTCCCACTGTACAGGGTTCTTGCGACCTAGGCAGCTAACCGTGCAGACGCTAGGACGCAGACTTTTCGCACACGCGGCATAGAGTTTCCAATCTTTACCGGATGCTACGAGCTACTCAAAGCGCAGGCACTCACTGCACCCGGAGGCACAGCACGCGCAGCCACGCTGAGTTTCAAAACCGGAGTGAGTTGGCACGCCGGGGCGTTGCCACTCTCCAAGTCCTTCGAGCGGTGCACCCTCCAGGAAGTAGCGGAACTGCTTCATGTACAACGGGGACTGCAGTTAAGGTGCATGCCCTCTATTGTTAGATGCACCCGACACGTCTGTCGCCGCGCGAGGGATACGAAGTCGTTGGGGGGGGCGGAATACGGAACGCTTGGAGAGAGGAAGAAGAATGGGACGCTCTTTCCGTTCACTTCAAATAGTTGAAGAGGTCCTTCGCAACCTGAGGAATACAACAGCCGCAACAGCCTAACTTCGGTGCGCCAGCAGAGGCGATGTTCTCACCTCAGCATCGAAAAGGCAAAATACACTGGCATTGGCACTACTGGATATGGCTCTACTGTGTAAGAGGCAGCCAAAAGTGACAAGCGCGCTAGTATGCTGGCTTGTTTTGGGCATGGCTCAGCAAGGCCGACACATCTGAGCTTGCGCTTCCGGGCAAGAATTGCTCACACATCTGTCCACACACGTCTGCAGTTCCTCAAACTGCCCTGAACAGTTTCCCCGTCCGTCAGTACGAGCCTTGAGGCGCTCGCAGCAAGCCTACACGGCCTCAAGGCAATACGCAGCAGTATGAACACATGGAGAAAGTAGCTCGACGGAAACAGAAAACCGCATGAAGTGACAGGTAAGGAGCCATGAAGCGCAACGCGGATTTGGCACGGGCAAATCCACGGAGGGGAACAATGTAGTTGACACAAACTACGGAAGGACTAAGTCGCGCCACAGATAGCTACACAAACATTTTCTGTGTCCCTGGAACGCATGGCAAAAAGCGGGGGGCCCCTCAGGAGGGCCAACAACAGGGAGCAGTTTCAGCAAAAAGAAGCAGGGGGGCACGCAGCAGCACGCGCATGCCCGTAGTAGATATGGCGAGATACGCAGGAAATTAGCGTCAGCGTATGCATAACAGAAACGAGGAGTAATGCACTCTGCCCCAAGCAATACAGGAGCCCACGTAGAAGGGAGTCTGCACTAGGTAGTACCCCAACAGCTGGCTGCAGCCGACTGCAAAGACACGTGCCATAACAAATCCCCCGTATACGTACTGAGTATTCATGTACCCATCTGCTGCACTTGGTTGTGCAGGCAGGAGCCAGTTTCTTCTTTGGGTCCACAAGGCGCTCGCTTGGGTCCTTGGGCGGGATATATTTTGGGTAATGCACCCCGAACTCAGCGTAGAAAGGGAACGACATTTCCTGCAGTGTTCGGGAAAGGGGTTCTCAATATGTCAGAGAAAGATCCCTTGGTGCAACACAAGAGGTTCGCGCTTGAAGCTCCGTTCAAAACAGGATGCCTTCACAATGGTATATACGCAGAATCTTTTTTCCTTTCAGAAAAGACGGACTTGTTGGTGTACCCGCTGGTGCCTCCCTTCCACAGTGCATGCTATGTGCCGTCAGTGTAGAAGGAAACAGCCCCAAAGCTCCACCACTAAACAGCGGTTTCATCCCTTTTGTGGAGCGGATCGCATTTCTTGTTTTATGTATAGGTATACATATTTTTGCTTCCTGCCTCGGTAGATTTGGAAGGAGTGTTTGCAGCAAGCACACACTGAAGCATCTAAGCTACCCTGTAGAGCTGCTCCGTAATCGTTTTCTTCTTTGCGTTTACCGAATTATTATTTGGTGTACGGCTACTCTACTTTGTTTTTTACCCCTTATATACATGCAGGCTCTTCTGTAGGCCTCGCTGAGTGGGATTAATAGCTTTTGACTGGGGGTCTCCTCTAGTCGCCGTAACGCCCGCCCGTTGCGCCTTTTGTCCGAGGGCTTTAAGGTCCCTCCTGACCAGTCACCTTTGTTGCTCTCATTTGTCTTAATAGAAGTGTTTTCTGTCGTTTACGTATCATTTGGATTTTTACCACCGCGGGTGCACATCGTCCTAGCCACCATGGCGTGGATGATCCCCAACGAACTGTCCGACATCGTTGCTGTCAAGTCCTCTTTGCCAACCCCGTCAACAGAAGAATGTTTCTACTGGCCTCGGGAGAGGCAGTGGGTACCAGAACGACTTGTGAGGAAACTCAAAGCCGCGGAGAAGAAGCAGTTACAGGGTGTAAAGGCCATAGTACAGAAGGCTGCCTCAGGTGGGTCGTTTCCCCCTCATTGCAAGTGCAGTGTTGACCTTTTATAACTTTTGGTGAGTGATCGTAATCTGATTTTCCTCACATGCCGATTTTCGGCTGCTGGTTCACTTATGTGGGATTTGTCTTTTGTCGCATAGTCCGTCCCGCCGTTTCTTGTCTCTTTTCACCATGTCCATGCATCTTTAGACCGGTTGCTTTCTCTCAGAATGTTCAGTGGATACCATCGTACTTCAATATTTGGAGTTGTACAGACATAGGATAACTGCTTTGATGTTAGACGTCTATTTCCCACTTATGTGCCTCAGCTGGTTCCTTATGAAGCAGGTTTCTGTCATTTTATTGTTACAGGCCAGAGCAAGTGCCGCAAATGTGGGGGTTCCATTGCCAAAGGCACGCTACGTGTGGGCTACCCCACCTCAGACCCCCGCGGGGCGTACGAAGTGCTCTGCTGCTGGTTGCATGTGGGCTGCAGCAGCGAGCTTTTTTCCATGCTTTTACAACGTGAAGCAGAGGGAAATCTTATCGAGCAATTGAGAGAAGATTTGATTGTTTCCTTGACTTGCTTAGAATCATCTGAGGGAGCAGCAGCAGAGAGCACAGCCAAGGCTGAAATAGAGAACGGAGGGATCAAGGCGCCACCCGTTGAAGATCCTCCACCTGTAAAGAAGGAGGACCCACAAATTCGCAGGACACGGGTTTCTTCGAGATGCAGCATTCCGAATAAAGCGGAAGAACAAGACAAAACGGACGAACACAAAGAGGCTCCCAGTGTCGCATCCACCGCGGCCCCTAGAAGCACTGGCTCCTCCGCGTCCGCATCTTCCAATGCCGACGATGCTTCTAGCGATTCTGGGGGCCCCACGAAGTCTAGGGGACGTACGGTGGAAAATGAGGATAAGAAGGGTGAAGCTCTGTCTACGCGGGATCGTCTGCTGCTAGAAAGGTCGAGCTGCATTATTTCGACAGAACGTTTGTGTCTAATGGCTGATGACCTCTCCTCATGTGAACAGCAGAGGGTCCAGGAAGCTCTGGCCGAAGCTGCTCGTCGGCTCTTCTTCCCAACTGAGGTGCAAGCGGAGACACTATCCAACAATGTCGCAGCTGAAGAAGTGATCGAAAAACTCGTCAAGAGAGAAATCAAGGGACGCGTAGCTTCGCCTGAAGGGTTACTTTTGCCGCTTCTGCCTTTCCAGGAGGAGGGATTGTGGTGGCTGACACAGCAAGAGGCGTCTCATATTAAAGGAGGCATCTTGGCTGATGAAATGGGTGAGGAACGAGCCGCATAATCCGTACTTGGATATTATCTTGAATTTGGCAGCAACCAAATTGCCTTGTTTCGGCGCCTAACTTTAGTGGGAATGTGAGCCTCTCTTGCTTGCTCTCAGACCCTTTGCACTTCCGCTTTATTCCTTGCAGCCTCCATTTCCGTTCTTTACATACTCAGGCTGCTCACAGTTCGACGTGTCAGCGGACCTATTAGCTCTTATATATTTGGAGCAGATGTTTCGAGTTTTGGATTAAAACGTGTCTGTTGTTTGAAAGAACGTACACAACTTACTGCGTGCACATTACGCCCACTGTTGACAGGTCGACCTGCATACGTGTGAAGCTAATGCGTTATTGGTTTTTACTTGCCTATGCGTTCTGCTTGTGCATTTGAGATGTGTAGCCTTGATTCACATTTTTGCCTCTTATGTGTTTGTGTGTTGTTTTGTGTCCGCATGTACGTTTTTGGACATTATTACGGTGAAGGGATGGGTAAGACGATCCAAATCATATCTCTTCTTCTATGCCGCCCGTTTCCCCCGCTCCCACAATCTGTACCTTCGTTGGTACGGTCAAGCGTGTGCTCGACGCTGATAGTGACCCCGCTAGCTGCACTGTTACAGTGGAAAAGCGAGCTCGACAGGTTTGTTGTTCCGGGACGCCTCTCGGTGCTTATCTACCACGGATCGCAGAGGCGGGCCCTCCACTCAGCACTCCATCAGTATGACGTTGTTCTAACTACCTACCAAACTGTGGAGCAGGATTTTCGCAAGCAAACAAATAAACACAAAGTCCCTTGCGAGGTATTGACAAGGATTCACCAGCGCTGGTGTGGGCCTATAAAGCCGCACTTGTGTCTACTAGAGATGCCGCTTAAGTGAATAGGCTGCCTCATATATGTGTATGCATACAGATGTGCAGCACTTGCGTACATGGTTATTTTCCGTGTACGACATATTCAAAATTTCTCGATGAGCATGGGATGGAAGTCATCTTTCTGTGAACTCTCTCATGTAGTTGATGTCTGACTCAGGGCTTTCTCTTAATGCAGGACATTATTTTGCGTCTCGCTGGCTGCTTTTGCCTTTGCATCTGGACATCCTGGAAATGCCTCTGAACTTCACCTTCCCGTCAACATTTGTTTCTTTTTGGCCTCTGTGCAGTACTGCCATCGTCTCTTCATGAGGGACAAATTACTCATACACCAAAAGTACTTCTGCGGTCCTGATGCCCAGCGTACGGCAAAGCAACGGCTAACGGAACGTAAGGTGGACGAAGCCACAGAAAGGGCGATGGTGACGCTCAATATTATCAACGCCGAGGGCAGAGAACGGCACAAGCCAAACGGAACACCGACCGCAGCAGGTAGGACGCAGACCGACAAGAAGAGAAAGAATGCACGACCCGGGGTGCTTGCTGAACCGGCAAACTTTGTTCCTACACCTGGCAATTGCCTAAAAGAGCTGCTTCAGCAAGCAAACATTGATCCTGATGAGCTGAGGCCGATGCCCTGGCTAGGTCCGCATGGCTACCGTAACGCAAAAGCTACAGCAGAGACAGCTGGGCTTCCTCAAGGCAAGAAACGCAAGATGGACTCGAATAATGACACCATTAGCAGCAGCAGGGGAGACAGCGCAGGTGCCAAGCTTGACGCGTGCACCGACGAGTGTGGAAAACTCGGCATGGCTGAAGTCGCTTGTTTAAAAGTAGCGGAATTAAAGGAGCTTATCAAAGCTCTTGGAGGCACCCCAATCCCCCGTGCACAGAAAGCGCAACTACTGGAACAAGTGGAGCCGCTGCTAAAAAAGAGCTTGATTAAGGAGTTATCAAATGCGGAGCCTAGAGACAGCGGCTCGGGAACTGCGAACCTCCAGATGTGCTTGGCTAAGCCTCAAGAGACAGATTCGGGGATGCAGGAGCACAGCGAGCGGCAGGAGCAAGCTTCAGCGGAGGAGTGTCAAAGCAGTAAAGAGAAAATTGGTACAGCTGCGAGCAGCAAGAGTGTGCCACCTGGGCAGCAGGTGGAAAGACCCATACGCGAAAAGTGCAACTGTGATGAAGAAAGTAAAGAAGCATCAGCTACCAGCAGCAGCGGAAAAGGCAACTCAGGAGTGAAAAATGCCAAAGCAAGCAGCCAGAGTCAACAGTGCCAACGGAGCAAAAGAGCTGTTCCTGCGAAGCGGGGGGTGGGCAAATCTGCTGGCGACGAGGACGGCGAGCCGCGAAACGCTGTGTCACCAGACAGTAGTAGCAGCAGAAGTAAGCCGCCCTTCAAGTATGTGAAGCCAGTAAAACCGGACAGGCAGCAAGCCGACAGTCAGCATGCTTCTGCTGTCACGGGCAAAAAGACTTCACTTGTCAATAAGAAGACGAAAACGGGGGCAAAGAACAAAACACGCAGCTGCAAGAACAGCAGCAAAACTATCCAGAAGTATACAAAACCGAAGAAGCATGTGAAGAAAGAGGTTCGAAGGTCCTCGAGGAAACAAGCGCCCACAGAACGAAACGTTTCCAGTAGCGAAAGCGAGTGGGAGAGCAGCAGCACGGCTTATGAGCCCTCAGGCTCGTCATCCGAAAGTGGCTCTTCAGATTCGTTTGTTGAGACACCTTCAGATGACCCATCAATTGATTCAGACTCCGAAGTTTCGTCGGTCGTATCTGTTCGTTCATCTGATACCACGAAAAAGAGGCGCGCTAAAACACCCCGCAACTCCAGTAACTACAGCAAGGAGCTGCCGAGAAGCACAGCTCTCACGCCAATAGATGAGTTGCTGTGGGGTAAAGCATTGGGCGAGACTGAATCTGAAGACGGAGAGGAAGGTGGACATGTTAAGGAGAGACTTGAGGAGGACCCTCAGCTGGTAGAAGCGCTTAGGCAGTCTCCTCTGCATGGAGTTGTGTGGCAGAGAATTGTGTTGGATGAAGCTCACAGGATCAAATCCCGGAACAGCAGCACGGCCCAAGCTATATTTGCCCTACGCAGCGCAACAGTGAAGGTTGCTGGTGGATGTAGTCGCCTTGAGCAAAGAAAGGAACAGCTGCAGCCTCAGATAGAAGAGGATGGTGCAAAGAGCTACAGCAGGGATGCTGCTGCTTCGCAAAGGGAAGATGCTGAAACTGGTGATCAGGATAGGATTGACAGTGCCCGTCCTGAAATCCAGAGTGGTGGAAAACAGAAACGTATGCAACAGAGGAAACGGTTGCAGGGGCATTCTCGGGAAGAGGATAATGGTTGTTCAGTTCCTGAGCAACAGGAAGGGACAACCGATAACGTTGCATCTTGCGAACATGCGGGAGTTGCATTCGGTGGCAATGGCGACAGCTGTAGAGGGAACAACGTGGGTAATAGAGGTGTTTCTGCGCCTGCCGACAATCAAACGAATTCAGACGGTTTTTCAATCGTCGTGGGAGGCTGTAGATGGTGTCTCACGGGCACACCTCTACAGAACAGAGTTGGGGAGCTATACAGTCTTGTGCGCTTTTTGCGCTTTTATCCCTATGCGTATTACTTTTGTTCGAAAAAGGGTTGCTCCTGCAGGTCCATGCATTACCGATTTGCCGATGGAAAGTAAGGACTCAGACGCGCGGTAGTGGACGCGTGTGTTGGTGTTGCGGCTGCGGCAGCAGCGAGGGAATCATTTTAGAGGTCACGGCTATTTCGCATAAAGCGAGTACATAAGTTAGATAGTCGTGGTGGTACACGACTATGTGTCACATTTGTTTTACATCTTTTGACGTGTTTATGGTTCGTCTGTGGTGCTCTTGCTCATACTGTCAGGTATTGCGAAAAGTGTTCTCACACGCGAATGACGCATTATTCTTTTTTCTGTCGCCGCGTTGTGAAGCCAATCAAGGAATTTGGGTACCAGGGAGAGGGAATTGTTGCCCTCGAGACCTTAAAGAAGGAAGTAAGTTTCCTCTTCACGCTTGCGAATTTCTCAACAGTCTCATCAGTTTTGGTTTGGTGAGAGCTGTATTGGTTTCTTATACCCCGTTCTGTAGCTGCGGTTTGCAAGATTATTGCTGATGGAGCTGCTCCTGTTATTGTTCGGCATGCAGGTGCTGGATGTCTGCTTGCTTCGACGCACAAAGATAGAGAGAGCAGCTGACGTTAAATTGCCTCCTCTCGTTGTATCCATAAGAAGGGATGCATTGAGTCCCCAAGAAAGAGATTTCTACGAGGCTCTTTTTAAACAGACGGCAACCCAATTCGTACGACGTCGCCCTTGCAGTTGCCGTTGTGCATGACGCTAGTGAATGACTGGTTGAGTAAGAAAGTGTTCTAGTGCTGCTGGAAGGCTGCATCATGCTGATTGTAGTTCTTCACATTGGGCCTGTTCCTTGGTACTGATCTACACAAGCATATCATTGGTTGTCATGCTTTGCCCGCCTGTGCCCATGCATCTTTGAATGTGGTGCAGCTCTTGCTAGGGGAATGTCTTTTTCCCTGTCGGTTTCTATGCAGGACTCTTATGTAAAGAGCGGCACTGTCCTGCACAACTTCGCGCACATCTTCGACTTATTGTCACGGCTGCGTCAAGCAGTGGATCATCCTTACTTGCTCATTCATGGTTCCCTGCAGTCCAAAGAGGGCTGTGTGCCCTTGCCGACTGACTCACGGAACCTAGAACAAACCGGCATCTGTGCCATTTGTCAGGAAGATATGGATGCCGCAGTATGTGCCTTCTGATGCTGACGCGGCTGTGATTCCTCATGCTGCTAGTTTTGTTGCAGGAGTGTTTGATCTTGTCGCGTGGGAAGCTGTGGCGGCTGTATCCTTTCATGAAGTACATTGTCTCGCTTCTTCCTAATCGTACAGTGCTTCTCCCGGTTGCAGTGTCGAGGTGCCTCCAACTGGAGTAACGTGTGTTTTTTTCATCATCAGCTCTTCTGCTTTGTGTATTGTGTTTGAGTGCCTCTTGCCAGAAAACGATTGCTAGCTCAGCAGAGTCGTGATATCGCGCAGACAGTGGTCGTCACATGACTGTAGTTTGTTGCTTCCTTCCTGTGATTGCGTTCATGATCAGGACGTTGCCGAGGCCAAGTGTGGACATGCATTCCATCATCTCTGCATTCAAGAGTATATCGAATCTGCTCCAGCTGCAGCAGAAGCAGAGCAGCAGCAAGTGCCAGCAGCTGCAGCGCTGGGCTGTCCTGCTTGTTTCGTCCCCCTGACAATCGACCTGTCGAAGCCAGGGGGATGGGAACCCTCGGAAGAAGATGCAACGGGAAGGAAAATGAAGGACAGACCAGACAACTCGAAAAAGCGAAGGAGCTGTTGTAACTGTCGGGGAGAGGATGGATTTGCTGAGGATGAAGAGGTTTCTGAGCTGGACACCGTCCTCGAGGTATTGAATAGCCGCTATCGCAGGCTTGCGCGTCTTTCAGTTAAAATTGATATCTTTGCCAAGTCGTGATAGTTTCAGTTGCACGCACATCATAGAGCTCAGCCTAGGTCATATAATGACATCAATCGGGCTGCTTCACAGACGTCTCGGAAATCCATGCCAATGCAGCCAATTAGCCAATCCATTGAGAAATAGCCTGTGGCCTATCCTTTGCAGAATGGCACAGGTGATCCAAGCGTCGCTGCTGAAAGGCAGACTGGTGCATCTTCGACGCCGGGAAGGACCGCAAACAGGCGCGGTGGGATTATGAAAAAGATCAGCGCCAGCAACTTCACAAGCAGCACTAAAATCGAGGCCCTTGTGCAAGTGAGAAAGAAGTCTTTACCCGATTGAATCTTCTGCGTGATGGGCTTTGTACACGCTGCGGCAGCTTTTGTGGGCACTTCCCAGCGAATTCCTTCTGTTGTATCAGAGAACTCTAGTCTGGCGGTGGGGATGTCAAAAAGTTTTGGGGGGACAATTGCTTACTCGCTGCAGGAGCTGCAAACGGAACTCGAACAAGACGCCGAAGTTAAAAGCATCGTATTTTCCCAGTTTTGTGCGATGCTGGATCTCATAGAATTCCGACTAAAGAGAGAAGGGATCCACTGCGCCCAGCTGACAGGGTCTATGACTGCTGTTGCCAGGTAAGTGCTGCTGTTCTTTTGTACATGCGATTCTGCCTCTTGCTTTGGGCCTGCCATTTGTCGTTTATACTTTTTCACGGGCAATCTGTATCAGTCTTTTCTGTTGTCCTTATGAATTTGACAGTAGCTTGGCTTCTCGAGGCACAAGGATTGCACCACTTTTGCCATACGCCTGGTTTCTGATGAATGCGGGCGCCTTTTATGGTTGCAGGAGCAATGTGCTGTACGCATTTAACAACGACACCAACCTGAAGGTGATTCTTATAAGTTTAAAGGCTGGGGGTGAGGGCCTAAATCTTCAAGTTGCCAGTAGGATATACCTGATGGATCCTTGGTGGAACCCTGCAGCTGAGATGCAGGCCATCCAAAGAGCCCATAGAATAGGCCAGACTAGGCCAGTGAAGGGCGTGAGATTTATTTGTACCGACACAATTGAAGAGAGGATTCTTCAACTCCAAGAAAAGAAACAGCTTGTCTTCGACGGCACAGTGGGAGCCTCGAACCAGGCAATGCACAAACTGACTCAGGAGGATCTCCGTTTTCTCTTTCAATCGTAAAGCAAAAGACTGTGGATCTTGCTGGGCACAGAGTCACTGTGCCAGGTTCTCTCATACGATACGTGCAGTAGAAGGCTTCACTGGGCTTTCCTCCGGCTGTGTGTTCGTGTGGTTGTCGAAGTGTAAGTGTCAAAGTTCTTCGCAGCGCAGTTTGCACATCTGTATCGTGTTGGATTAGAAATATCGCACTGTATTTGCACATGTAGCAGTTTACATAAATTTGATATACTCAGGGGAAAACCCTTTTTACATCAGTTCACTCAGCCATATTGTGCGCACAAATGCATGGAGGTCAGCCGCTTTGTGTGCACGACGTATGAGGTCAGCTTTACTGTGACGCTCTCGTGTCCTGTCTTCTTAAGGGGCCGCCTTCAAAAGAAGCTGAGAAGACGAATTTCATTAGTGGCTCGAAACGTGTTTGCCCTTTTTTTCTTACGTCCGATTCGGTGTGGGGCCCACACTTGTCTCAAAGTTTGCGCGTGTACATTGGCTGCGAATCTGGGTCTCCTTTCAATTTTTAGGTTGCTACTTCCGCAGGTCACCTGGTTTTTGTCCCTTTGCCATATTTGCCCAAGACTCATTGCAATGCCTCAGGCTTAATCAGTGTTTCGTCTCACTAGTGTCGCTACTAGTGGAAACCGTTTGAGCTCACTTCAAAATGCTGCATCAGGGTAGCTTCAAATGCTCAAGTTCTGTTCAGTCACCCTCGAAGAGCTTATTGACAATTGGGTCAAAGGGTTTAACTATTTGGTCTGCGCACCTTCCTGGAAACTAATGCTGCGAAGCACCTCGAAGCCAGGAGCTATAGCGCTGAAAGCATTTTCATTTATGTCTTTTTCACCATTTTATTTGTCCTTGCATGGTAGCCTAGTGCCTCATGCAAAAATCTCCCCCAAGGCACTTCGCGACACGCTACGGGCGACAGTCGAGACTCCCTACGACGGCAACGCTACATCCGCTGCAGACGAACTTTGGCACAACCAGGCGTTGGCTGTATGTGCTAAGCGCTTCTTGTCCTGCACTCTGTTAATATTCAGCTATCATTATACAATACGCTATTCCTTTGCTATGCGGCTCTCGCTACGAGCGATTTGTAGGGGACTATCACTGCACCACAACGCCTTCGGTAACGCCGAGTACCGCCACGGACGAGGTAGAGCTCCTGGGGGCTCTGTTTTTTCACGGATTCCGCCATATCTCTTTTCGACTCCAACATCAGTTGCGACTAGACATCTGTCTACGTCTGCTATGCATACACGCCCCAAACGGCCAACACAGAAAGGGATCGTGCAGCGCCAAACTTCCAACCTGCCAACTTCACGCCATCTTGCGCGAGCATGCATTTTGGCTGTCTTTGTTGCGTACACATACGGCGCAGCACGGTGGAAAGGAGCGTGGTAGAGTGCACAAATGACGCGAACTTCACCATCAAGAAGCATCAAGGAGGGTGGTGTGAATGTTCGTGCGGACGGTGCCAGCATCCGAGAAAAGATACCGTGAAACGTACTGCATGTCAAGAGAAACAAGGCTACTACGGTAAGTGGCCAGCAGTTCATGCTTTACTGGGCTTCCTAACAGGATTCCAAAAGGGTGCCTCCGCCTCTCCTACCCTGCTTATGTTGCTTGAGCAACTTTCATGGCGCCTCGGCGCCGCCTGAGCTAGCAGCTGATCCTAAAGCCTACACCAGCACAAAGTTCGAACTGATGCCGTTTAAGCTGGTGTGCCCTTCCTACTGCAGCTGAGACACCCAAAGTGTTGAGCTATTGTTGGTGTTTGTAAACTCTACTGTACGCCCACTAGGGTCGAAACCGGCGGCTTGGTTGGAGGAGCTAGCTCAACACCATCTTAAGGCTCAGAACAACCTCTTTCGCCGGGACCCAACTGCAGCAATAAACGCACTTACTAAAGCGCCAAACCAGAACCGGCTGCGTTTTGCCCTGGGTCCAAAGAGAACGCTAGACGCCAACAATCACAACCCTCAATCCCCAAATCCCCATCCGTTACCGATAAAATTTTTTCTGATCGGGATACAGCTGGAAGCCTTCTAAAATCCCTCAATCCCTCTTTCTTCGTGATCGGATATGTTTCTAGCTGCTGATGTGCAATGCTGCATTGCAGTCAATGCATGAGGCTCATCCGTTATTGAAGCGCCAGTCTCACGTCTCCATGCCCTATGAACAAAGATAACACGGAGGGTGGAGCAAAATGATCCTTGCAACTGTCGTCTCATCAACTGGCCCGAGTGACAAAGTGTGCGTTACCTACTTCGCTGCCGTGCCAGAGAGCACGAGCATCTTGAGCTAGTCCTTGGGGCGCATTTGTATTGCCTGATTCTTCACCCTTCTGTTGTATTCATCTCGATTTTGGCAGTAGAGCATATACGGTTCCGCTTGCGCAGGCGACTGAGGATTTGGATTGTCTAGTAAATCCTGAAAACCAAACCGTTCTAAAACTCATGCAACGAGTGAGACCTAGCTGATACAGCCACAACATAAAGCCACAAATGATATCGATGAAAGAAAGAAAAGGAACAAAAACAGCGGAACTCTGTGGCGACTGGAGGGGGATTGCACCTGTATACCAAGAAGGATTTGTTTGATGGTGATAGACGGCTTCCAATCTTCATCTTCATTTAGAATCGACAAACAAACAGTTCCTGAAGGATATACATTTGGGTGGAACAAGACCGGCGCAAACTTGCACTTGGGAGGCTTGCTTGGGTACTCCTCTGAGAACTCCATTGTCAGACAGTATTCACCCCCTTCCCAAATACTACCCTGCATTCCCGCAAAAGCAAGGTCACACAGATGACTCGCTTTTGCCTTGAGTTCATATTTTCACGTAAAATACTAACAGTACACAATTCAATGACCTGAATATACTGAAGCAGAAGCTGTTTTCTCTGAAATTCCTCGTCCATCCACCGGCGGAATCGACCTCACGGCACCATTTGTGCCTGAAGCAACGGGGCATCAACTGCTGACCTTCTTTCCAGGAACCTTGCATATCCACTTCATGATGTCCTGGCCGACACTACCATCAGCCATAGGAGCGTACTTCGCGGAAAAACCTGCTGGATGGTCTCTGCGCCAAGCTGCTCTTTCCTGCGCCAATCTTTTGCGAGCAATTGAACCGCTACACGCAGCCGAAGATACCGATGAGGCTGCTGCCGGAGGAGTAGAATTGGCTATGGCCCCATTTTGTGTATCCTGTGCGGGTTTCCTCTGTGCAACAGTTGCTGCTTCATTGTCTCTGACATTTGCACCTCCACCACCAGACGATCCTGTGGGGGATGCCACCGCCTCAGTTGCCTGAGATGCAGATGTACTCATTTCTCTACGTGCGTTTTGTGGCAAAGCCTTGAAGTGCCGTGGAAGTTCAGTAGAGACGAAGCGGGCAACCGAAACACTATGGATCTGGCAGTGGACGGAAAGTAACTTGGTAGCCTCAAGCTACAGCCCCCAAGAGTTCAACAGTGCAGAAGCACATACATTCTGCCGGATAAAAGTAGGAGAGAGAAATAAGATCTAGCATATAACGGCCTTGAAATAATCGTGAGGCGCATGCAGCGGTGGCTGCTGTTAGGGGCCCCTTACGCCTGCCTAGTCTCACAAAAAGAGAGGATACAACCGCCAAAAATGCTGAAAGCAGCTCAAGAAGTGTTATTAACATCATTAGGTGGACTTCTATTCCGTTGGTGAGTGTTTGGAATTGCCGTGACGGCCACATGTCCTAAAGAGCATGTTGGTCAGCATGACGCGCCGTTTGGTGGATTTGCAACTTTCGAACATAAACCATCGAGGTAAAACGGCCCAAATTGTAAACTTGGTCTTTTAAAGAAATTCCACTGAGTCTCTGTAGTGCTTCGGTAATGCGTTGTTCAGACATAGCTGGCTTAATGTTGGATGCTCCTTGGGTCCAGAAGCTAGCTTTACTTGTGTGTACTGTCTTCGGTAGGAGTAATAAGGGGCATCGCTTTGTTTTTTTTTGATAGCTGTGCATATGTATTAGCCACCATTTACGGGCTGCTGCTTTCAGTACAACATCAACGACCTGCGGGTTTGCTTCCTTCTGGATGCACTGTAGCGTATACAGCCGGCGCTGTGCGCGGTTGCATTGCGTATGTTATGCAGACATTTTACGTGTTTCGAATTGCTAGGGACTGAGCATATTCAGCGAAAGATTATCCGTTTCTTGCGCACGCGTTGCCATCAACTACCCTCACCACTTTTGCAAACATTCAGTTACCTCTGAACGAGCAGGCCATCGGCTTCACACTAGAGCAGATTTCTCCCCAGCCCTTTAATTATGTGTCTTTTGGCACTTTCAGTTTCTTTTTTGGCGCGTGGTTACGTTCCTATGTTATCGGTTTGAAGGGGCCATTTTCCTATCCAGACGTGCGCTTCTCTCCATTCGTTGACATCTGGACTTGCGGCTTTCAGATAGCAGAATTTTCCAGGTCGTTGGGTCATGCCGCAACTACGCACTTCAGTGCTTTTTCATGACTCCCGTGCCCAGCATTTTCGCCTTAGTTTCCCGCTAAACTGTTGCATTACCACGGCGGGAATTTAGTACGGGCCTCACGCTTCCGTCTAGGCCTACCAGGCGTTCGACAACGTAATGCACCACTTCAGCCGCACATCCGGTGAATCTCTGCCAATTTCCCTGATCTGCTCTGCTGCAGAAGTGGGATGGTCGTGAGCATCACTCCACATTCATAACACCCTGGCCCTCTTTCGAGCTTCCATTCTTGTCACTGTTCCATAAGTTGTTCCTCCGCGTTGCTGTTGCTTCTGTTCGCAATGCCATACCGAAGTCCCTAGGTGGTTCGGCACAGTAGAGGTACAGCGATGCATCCCTCCCCCTAGCTACACTGTGCTTCCCTAGGTCTTCTAGCCGAGGAGTAAACGTCTGGTAAACACTGTTCCGCTCGGCTCCTGCCATTATGCTTCTAGTTTTGCCTCTAGATAGTGCACGGGACCTCCTGTGAAGCCGCCTC